CAGAGGTCGAGCGCAAAGCCCGCCCCGTGACCTACAGGGTCACCAGCACGCTGACCATCACCGAGAGCGACTGGCTCAGCCAGAGCGTGTTCACCTGCCAAGTGGAGCACCAGGGGCTGATCTACCAGAAGAACGTGTCGTCCATGTGCGGCCCCAGTGAGTGTTCCTGCCCCGAGGGCCCAGGGCGGAGACCCCCAACACTCAGGTGTCCACTCGGGTCGGCAGACCCTGCCCCAGATGAGGCCGGCAGCTCCCCGAGCCTTGGCTTCCCAGAGAGGCCAGGGGCGGGGAGGGGGCCCCTCAGGGCCACTCGGGGCCACTTGTTGGGCAGGGCCCGGTGTCCCCTCCGGCAGGACCCCAGGGCCCAGGAGGGGCTCGGCCAAGTCGACGCCTTGGCCTGATTCCACCCCCTCTCCTGTCCCAGGTTCGTCCACCATCCGAGTCTTCACCATCCCCCCGACCTTCGCCAGCATCTTCCTCACCAAGGAGGCCACGCTGTCCTGCCTGGTCACGGACCTGGCCACCTATGACAGCCTGAGCATTACCTGGACCCGCCAGAAAGACGATGAAATGCAAACCCACATCAACATCTCCGAGAGCCACCCCAACGCCACCTTCAGTGCCACAGGAAAGGCCACAGTGTGCGTGGAGGACTGGGAGTCGGGCGAGAAGTTCACCTGCACGGTGTCCCACACGGACCTGCCCTCGCCAGTGAAGCACACCATCTTCAAGCCCAAGGGTAGGCCTTCCCTGCCCTTCCCGCCACCCAGACCCTCCCACGCACAGCATCCAGAGCCTGGACCCCATGGCAGGCCCGGGAGCAGAGGCACACATGCACATGGACACAGGCCCACACGCACAGACATGCAACATGCACATGGACACAGGCCCACATGCATAGACATGCACACATGGACATGGACACAGAGGCGCATGCACATGGACATACGCACACATGGACATGGACACAGAGACGCATGCACATGGACATATGCACACGGACACACAGATACCTGCACATTCGTACACTAAGACACATAGACACACATGCCCTCTACTCCCTGCCCCTGACCTGAGCTCACCCCATCCCTCTCCCCACAGAAATCGCCAAGCACATGCCCTCGGTGTACGTGCAGCCGCCCAGCCGGGAGCAGCTGAGCCTGCGGGAGTCGGCCTCGGTCACCTGCCTGGTGAAGAGCTTCTCGCCCCCAGACGTGCATGTGCAGTGGCTGCAGAGAGGGCAGCCCGTGTCCTCCGACATGTATGTGACCAGCGCCCCAATGCCCGAGCCCCAGGCCCCCGGCTTGTACTTCGTCCACAGCATCCTGACCGTGAGTGAGGAGGACTGGAGCGCCGGGGAGACCTACACCTGCGTCGTGGCCCACGAGGCCCTGCCGTACTCGGTGACCGAGAGGACCGTGGACAAGTCCACCGGTAAACCCACCCTGTACAACGTGTCCCTGGTCATGTCTGACGTGGCCAGCACCTGCCACTGACCCCAGGCTGCCCCTCAAGGGCGGTCCGGAGCCTCTGGCTGACCTGTCGCTGTGTGTGCATGTATGTAAACTGACTGTGTCAATGGGGTGGGGTGTTGCATTCTATAAAAACTAGAAATAAAAAGATCCGTTCAAAAGATGCTGGTCCTGAGTGAGCAATGCTCTTGCCTGCTGGGGCCACGGCTGTGCTGCCCCCACCCCTGCCTCACCCACTGGTTTCCCACTCGCCTCTCAAAGCCCTGAGCCCCTACAGAGTGCTCACAGCACACAGTGCCAATGCTCCCCGCCTCTCCACTGCTGCTATGGGCTCACAGGACATGGGTGTACAACACACATGCACACATGCACACACAGAGACACATGCATGCATGCACACAGACATAAACAGATATGCACACACGGACTCAGATACATATGCTGTGGACATTGGCACACAACACATGTGCACACATGCATGCATGCACACAGACACATGCCCAGATATGGACACACACAAAGGCACACAGGCAATGGACACTGGCACACACAGAGACATGCACACACATGGGCATGGACACAGACACACATTTTGTGAACATAGGCACACAAACACATGTGCATGTGCACATGTGTGCAAAGACATAGGCACATGGGTACATATATGCACACATGTACATATGCACGTGTGTGTTCACAGTGTCACATACATATATGCACAGAGACACATGCAAAGATATGGGCATATGCACAAAGAAGCACACAGGCACACATGCATGGATATACACACATGAATATGAACAAAGAGACACATGCAGTGGATGTGGGAACATGGAGACATGCAAAGACATGGATACAGACACACAAATACTTACACATTCATACACACAGACACGTGCACACTCATATACGCATGCACATACATGGACACATACACACAGAGGCACAAATGCACATGGATGTAGAGACACACATGCAATTGACATGGGCACACTGGCACATGTACACATACACACATGAAGAGGCATAGACACATGCATACAGAGATACCTGCACATGCATGCATGCACACAGACACACAGTTAATGCACATTCATATACACATGCACACACAGTCACATACTCACATGAGCACTCACACACACAGATGAGTCATGGGTGCACAGGTGTACACTGACACAAGAACACATTTGCACAGACACATGCACATGCAGACACACATGCATATGCGCACGGACACATACACACACGAATGTCCAGCCTGTGCACCCTGGTCACTCGGTGCCTTTGCACACGCCTGCCTCTGCACCGCGCTTGCTGCAGGGCTTCCTGCCCAGCCTGCTTGTCCTCTGTCTCCCCTTGGAGGTGCACCCAGGGGCCAGCCCAGCCCGGACTCTGACCAGGGCACCATCCCAGGCCCTGGGCAGGGGCTTAGGGGGCCACCTGGCGGGTGGGCTGCAGCTCCTGGGGGCCACCCCGGCCCTGTCCAGGCTGTTGATGAAGCAGCAGAACCTGCACCCACCTGTGAACAGAAGTAGTCGGTGTGTCCGGGAGGCAGGGAGGCTGATCTGGCGGGCTCTGCCCCGCAGACACCTGGCCCTGGACACACCTGGTGGGGAAAGAGACCCTCTGCAGCAGGGAGTGGGGGGCACAGGGGCCTGGGGTGGCTCCGTTCCCAGCAGACGGCACTGCCCCCTGGGCCATCCCCTAGACACCCATGTTCCTGGCCCTATGAGGTCTTGGGCTCCAGACGCTGCCTCAAAGGCCCATCTGTGTTGGGGCTCCAGACCCCACTGTATGTGTCCATCTGTCCAGCCCAGCCTCACTCTGCCCGGAGCCTCACGTGTCTGTCAGACCTCTTGGTCCCAGAGATATGATTCCTAGTGGGGCAGACAAGCCAGCCCCACGGCTTCCCACACTCGCTCTCCACTCCAAGAAGGAGAGAGTGAGACTCCCACTGAGGCAGCAAGGACGGTCCCTCAGGCCCAGACCTGTGCCTGCCCCGACTGCCACCTCCAACCGCAGGGGACAGGAGGCCCCACTCCCAGCTTCGTCACCCAAGTGTCCCTGGCCATACCCCCTCTAGGAGAACCCAAGACCCTGAATGCACTCCACTGGGTCCCCCCATCCCAGCCCTGCTGCGCCCACCCCTGTGTCTGTGAGCTGCTGTCACCACCCTGCACCCAGGTCCCTCAGGACAGGGGCCTCTGCCCGGCCTCCCAGCGGCTGTGGGAGCCCAGCTTGCGCCAGGCTCGGACCTCCCCGCTAGAGGCACAGCCTGAACCCTTCAGGGCCCCTGCCTGCTGCCCTCCCCTTCTGCTGCT